GCCACAGCCCCAGAGCAATAGAGCCGATTGATTATGGACTAGAATCTCTAAAACTGTGAGCCAAAAATAAACCTTTACTCTTTAAAGCTGGATTATCTCAGGTATTTTGTTATAGTGACAGAAAGCTGATATATAATGTTTATGAATATTTATATCTTTTATGAATTAGGAGAAACCATGTTATCCCTATGATAGTTATTGGCCAGAAACTGGTCACCAATCTGGTCTAGTAAGAATTCAACATGAAGTTTTCCTGGGATCTTGGGTGAGTACTGAGCTGGTAGAGCATAGTTCTGGAAATGACCATGCCATACATAGTACTTCCAGGGGAGAGACTGAATGTGATGACACAGAGAGGGAAGAAAAGCCAAGTGATGCAGAAACAGGCCCCCTTCCCTCTTCCAGCTGCCTTGTCTTCCTTGGTGATGGTAACGGATGCTGTGAGATAACAGCTAGTTCCTCACTGAGGACAGAACTTTCCCCCAGCTCCTGGGAGTAGGCAGTGCTGAGCTGCCAGCCCTCTTCGGGATTGCCTCTGTTGGACAGCGCCCCTTTTCCCATGCCATGCCCCTATTCAGGACAGCCTGGAGCCAATGACAGGGACTATACCATCCTGCTCTTTGCCCCCACTTGGAGCAGCTCTGTTATCAGATGGAGGGGTCCTAGTTGAGTTATTTCCAAGTCCTCTGTATCTCAAACAAGGAATTGAGCAGGAGACTCAAAAGGAGTAACAAGAGTAAGATTTATTAAAGATGAAGGAAGTAAGGATACATTCCATGGTACCAGGCCAGAGAGAAGAGCTCATGGCCCTGATAGGGGCAGATACTGGGTCTCTTAGGATCCTGGGATATTAGGAAGATCCACAGTTGGGAATTGACAGGAGTCATGGCCCAACAGGATCCCTGATTCAGCCCACCAATTGGAAGGAAGAGTTCTCAACCATTCAAGGTTTGTAGCAGACATGTCGCGGCGTCCAAAGCCCAGTGGGGTAGGCGTTAAAACCACAATGCAAATGAGGCTGGAGGCTGGACACAGGCCGGGGTCATATATTTTGGGTTTTGCACATGTCTGGGTCTTTAGGAGGACAGAATGAGCTTTTATCTGTTGAGTTCCTGACATTTTCACATAGTTGTCCTTACTCTGGTTTCTTTCTCCGTCAGCTTCTTTGTTTTGTCCTTGCTCTACCTCCTCCCTTAGCTCTGCACTGGTTTCTTAGCCTCAGATGTCCTTGCAGGATGGGCTGAGCTCCTTATCACAACAGCAACGTAGGTCAACATTTCCCTCTGATCTCACTTGCTGCTGAAATTGACAGTGGGTTCCCAATACTAAGAAAACAAAGCCTTTTCTTAGAAAGAAGAGCACCCCGTGGGAGCACAGGGTGGAGCAGATGGGGAGACAAGAGGAACAGTAGGAACAGCATGGTGTTGAAAGGAGGTCCGAGGTAGGATGGGGAAAACATTGAGCTGATGCTATGTGAGGAATAGTTGAAAGGACTGAAAATTTGTAGCTAAACTAATAGAGGTTTGTAAGAAATCTGATAGCAATATTCTTATACTTGACAGGCCATTAGAGGCTGGGTACAACTCATTCAGCTGGGTCTCCTGGCTTCTGCGCTTAAGCTTCCACAATTGGTTCTCACACCATTTAGATAAAGTCAGGACACTAGCCAGCTTGGCTTCTCACTGTACTACACACAGAACCTACGCATCTTGCCATGACCTGCAAGGTCCTTCATCATCCACTCCTGGCCTCCTTTTCCAGCATTACTCCTATGGCTTTGCCCTCACCCACCCTTCCAGTTGCACCAAACTTTTCTTGTTTCCTGAATACACTAACTCATCTGACCTCAGGGCTTTTGCACCTGCAACACTCTTTGCTTGTTCTTCTCTATGTTCTTTGGTAAGCTTTTCATTTGCTCCATTCCTTTTTGTTGTTCATCCCTAGAACAAAGGTCATTTTCTAAGAAAGTCCCTGTCCTCGGTTAGTTTCTACCTCATCACCCTGTTTTATAATCTTCACAGCACTCTTTGCTTCCCAAATGGCTTTGTATCTTTATTGATTATGGGATTTTTGGTTCCTATGTCCTCCGCAAAGCATACAAGTCTCCAATGGACAGAAATGTGTTTCTCCTGCTAGTCATCATAATCCCGGTATATGATACAGTTTTGGCACACAGCAGGTGCCCAGACCTATTTGCTGAGTGAAAGAATGAATGAACAGGGCCTAAAAAGTAGCCCCAGCACTAAAAAATGGGCAATTTGGACAGCAGATTTTTGAAGCTGCAGCAGGTGGGCTCAGAGCCTGTCCTGTCCCTGGAGGTGTGATATAGAGGTATAATTGCCCCCTAGCAGAGCACAGAAGGCCAGTGGGAACATGGGATTTGGAATCACACAGAACGAGATTTGTGTCTTATTTCTATTTTCTTTTTCTTTTGTCTTTTTGAGACAAGGTCTCACTATGCAGTTCAGGCTGGCCTTGAGCTCACTTTGTAGCCCAGGCTGTTCTCCAACTTGCAATGATCCTCCTGCCTCAGCCTCCTGAGTGCTGGTATTACAGGCGTGCGCCGCCACACCCAGCTCTATGTCTTATTTCTGCCACTTCCTGACTGGCCAGAGGTCTTAGACAAGTTATTTGACTTTGAAAAGCCTGTGTTTCCTCATTTATAAAGACAAGTTTAGGCCAGGTGTAGTGTCACATGCCTGTAATCCCAGCACTTGGAAGGGTGAAGCAGGAAGATTGCCAAGTTTGAGGCCAGCCTGGGCTACAAAGTGAGTTCAAGGCCAGCCCACACTGCATTGCAAGACCCTGTCTCAAAAAGAACAAAAACCAATAACAACAACAAAAAGGCAAATGTGTTAGAAGCCACCAATAGGGGTGCCAGGCTCAGTAAAGCCCTTGGTTAGTGTGGAGCACTTAGCAAGTGCTGAGTAGATGTTAGTTTGGTAGTATGGCTGTTAGTTTCGGTTTCTCCAGTCATTACAGGGCCTATCTCCATTATCTGCTGAGGCCTCTTGAGATCAGAGGAGCAGGAGACTCACAGGAGTGGCCCTGCTGCTACAATCGTCTCTCAGGAGAAGCACTTGGTGTTTTCTCCTATGACACGAACTAACTGCGCTTCAGGGGGCAAAGTAGCAAGGCTCTGGATTCAGCCAGGTGGCAGGGGCAGTTGAGCCACCCTCCAGACTGTTCCTGCTCGGTTTGCTACCTCCGACTCAAACCCAAGCTAATCTCTGTGTGAGCCAGACGAGGAAACTGGGCAGTTATCACAGACTGATCAGGCCTGCAGTCTCCCACGTGAGTGGACAGTGAAGGCTTAAATGAAAGAGACAAGTGGTATGATTTTAGGGTTCCAGGAGGATCAAACCCTCTAGCAGAATTCAAGATTCCTGGGGGCTGAGATAAAGAACTTCTCTGGGTAACCTGTATTTATTTGGTTTTCAGTTAGGGAGGAAGATAATGAAGAAACCATGAGAACCTCAGCAGGACCTTGGGAGTCCATTCAGGGACTTGTCCAAGTAATAGATTATGTTAATTCAGGAGAACTGTGTTATCTCCAGAAAGACCTTCCTGCAGGAGTGAGATGCCTGCTGCTACAGTCTTGATCTAGTTAACTGGCGTTGAAGCCACCTGTGGCCTTGTGTTGTCCTGTGAGGCATCAGAACATTACAGGCCACTACAGGCCTCAGCCAGGACCAGTGACTTATAGAGGTTCACTTACTACCACTCCGCTGTCCATCTCCAGACAAGGGACCTAGGCCTTGGACAGACTCACAAATAAACATGGAAAGCCAATTGGTTAACTTCAAATTCTGTTCAGAGCCACTTCGTAGTGGTCTCCATCAGGCAATCACTGTTTCTTCACAGGACATAGAACTATTACCAGTTTCCCACACCACTTGAGTCTGCACCACAGCATCAAATCAGTTATGTCCCGTGATACAAGGGAGGAAGTCATTGCAATAACAGAAGCAGCTCTGGGGCAGATGTCTCGAGGCTGCTGTCCTCAAACAGAGCTGCGTCTGACCGCCTTGCTCTCCCTGCAGTCCTGGGAGACAGCTACAATCATCAGCCCAGTCCACAGAGGAGCAAACTTGCTGAGGGAGGTCCTGTCACTTGTGCAGGCTTATGCAGCCAGAGAGTGGCAGAGAGCACCCAGGCCCTGTATCTCAGTGGCCGTGCCCTTGACTACCAAGTGGAATGGTTTACCCCTTGGGAATGGTTTGCCCTGCAAGCAGTGAGCCTCCCAGCACTGTGAGTGACAGGGAGAAATACCTGAGCTCGACAGGGCTCTTTCCCATGTGTGTGTTCCGTGTGGGGCTCTGAGCCAGGCTGTGTGCCAGTGCCACCCTATTCCATCCTGACACCCCCTGCCAGGTACAGATTCTTCTTTGTGGCTGCAGCTATGCTCCCTGCAAACATGTCGAAACTACAGCCCTGGTTACTTTTCAGTTCTAGGACTCTGAAGAGGAGGAGGCCCCTCAGGCAGGCAAGGGACACGGGGATCCAGCTGTCCCGCGCTTAAGCAGTAGAGCCAGAAGCCAGGGTGGGCAGAGGGCTGCAAGCAGAAGGAGACAGCCATGACTGCGGCGCTGAGTCCAGGTGTGCATGGGCCTGAGCGCCCGCTTCTCTGTCTAGCAGTGCAGCACCGAACAAGTTCCTCAACCTTTCTGAACTTCTGTTTTCTATTTTAAGGAGGGGCGGGAACAGCGAATTTCCCTACTGGTCTTTGTAGTGGCTGAATAATCAGGTGCTTGAGGCTCGCAGTCAAGCCCCACAACTCAGGTGACCGACCCCAGCCTGAGCTGAGGTGTGGCGGGCGAAGTAGGTGGCTGTGTGGCTTGGGGTGGGGTGAGGGTGGAGTGGCGTGGCGTGGGTGCTGGAGCAGCGGAAGGAGGCGGAAGGCGCGCACAAGCAGGATCCCGGACCTCAGACCTCGCTGGGAGATCAGAGAGGGCGGAGCGCGGGTGTTCCCGGGGGCGGGGCGCGGGGACCTGGCGCTATAGGTTCTCCTGGGACGCGCCCGCAGGGACTCGGCAGCCTGGCGGGTGGCGCTGCAACCTCTGCGCAGGGCCGTGCGTGCGTCCTCCTGCCGCCCAGCACCTGTCGCGCTCACCTGCCCGCACCTGTGGCGCTCGCTCGCAGCCCCCATCTATCGCCCGCACCTGCACTCCTGCACCTGCAGCCCTACACCTGCGGACCGGCCCAGCATGGCGGATCAAGCGCCCTTCGACACAGACATCAGCACCCTGACCCGCTTCGTCATGGAAGAGGGCAGGAAGGCTCGCGGCACTGGCGAGCTGACCCAGCTGCTCAACTCGCTCTGCACCGCGGTCAAAGCCATCTCCTCCGCGGTGCGCAAGGCGGGCATCGCGCATCTGTGAGTCAGGCCTTGGGCCGCGTCTCTATCTCTGTCAGTCCCCCTGCCCGGTGGCAGTCCGTCCTTTGGTTCGCTGGTCCCCCTGCTGTTTGCCTGTCCACCTGCCGACACCTGAGAACCTCCATTTCTCTAGAAGCTTGCATAGCTGCACACAAATCCACATTCCTCTGTCTCTTGACCTCGAGGTGCCCACCTGAATACCTGACCCGCAGGTGCAGCCCTGCTCCCCAGGTGCACACTGGAGTAGACTGCCTCGGCACTCCTCTTTGTCCCCCACCCCATCAGAGCCTCAGACAGGAAAGTTCAAGTTGTGGGGGTTCCTTTCTGTTCCTCTTCTTTGTCCTCCATTCCCTTTGGAATTGGCCTCCCAAGTCAGGTTTCTAATTCAGTACCTCCTTGGGGAGGGGGAGTGGGCCCCGAGGGGGCTGAGAGGAAGCCTGTGTGCCCAGAACTGAGGAGCAACAAAGCTTGGTGCACGGCCCCACAGGGGCTGCCCCTGTCCAAAGCACACTCACCCTGTGGGCTTCAAAACCTCTACCCAGGGCTGGGGATTTAGCTCAGCAGCACAGTGCCTGCCTGGCAAGCCAAAGTTCGATTCCCGGAAAAAAAAAAAAAAGCTCACGCCTGTAATCCCAGCACTTGGAAGGCTGAAGCAGGAGGATTACTGTGAGTTCAAGGCCAGCCTGAAGTGCATAGTGAAACCCTGTCTTTAAAAAAGACCAAAAAAAAACACCCCCAGAACACAAAAACCTCTACCCATTAGCGGTGTGGTTTGTGCTGCCCTTGTCCAATTCCTGAGTGGCTCAAAATGAACTAGGCAGTCCCTCTCAGGCTTCAGTGTGACAGGAATCATGGGGGGTTTGTTAGGACGGGGGCTTCTTTCAGTAAGTCTGGGGTGGGGGCTGAAATTCTGCATTTTCAAGAAGTTCTCTTGTTTTGGGGGTACCAATGCTACTGGTCTACCTATCCCATTGTGAGTGGCAAGGAGTCAGGGGACCTGGGGACTCAAGGGACTCCTTGTGGTAATGCTTTTTGTAAGTTGCACAACAAGCTTTGGTTTGTTCTTGTGTGCCCAGGTATTTTGCATCTACTCAGTCCTCACTTTAACTGAAAGGTACTGGGGTTTTCAGATTGCCTGTATGCATTCCTAGCATTACACACACCTATGAAGTCTACAAAAATGACACATGCTGCTCCTTGCTGCTTTGGAAAAATACAATCCTGCTACTTTGAAAAGCACTGTTACACATTTAAGAGCTTCCCCCAATTCTGCAACCTAAATTCCTTTTTCTGGTAACCTCTGGCCCCACAGTATAGGTTGGTTGAGCTAATCCTTAAGAAAGAACCCTATGAAAGATAGGGGGAGTTTTGCTAAGCAAAGTGATGACTATTACTGTTTTTCCTCTAGCCCCTCTTAATAAGACATTTCTAAGAATTCTCTACTTTAGTTTAAATTTAATTTACAAATATAGGTAGCATCACAGCCTTAACTCTCTTTGAGGAGCAGGGAGATCTTTTAAAAAACACTGTCTATCATTTCATATTTTGTTTTTTTAAAAATGTCAGTACCCTTTGAGGCCCCTGGAAACTCAGAAGCACAAAGTCTGCTCTGGGGTATCCCACCTTTTAAATAACTCAAATATTATATAGTGGGACCCAGAAAATAATATATAGTGGGACCCAGAAAAGAGGTATTTATAATTACATGAAATGTGTGCTTTTAGCCTAGATGGTTGTGAACACCAGTTTTTAAAACAATTTTACTGAAACTGTTATAACTACTTAGTGAGTTGTACTCACTGACCAAAAAAGAGAAAGAAAGTCATCAAATCATTCAAAAGAACACCAAGAGAAAGTGAAACTCCTTCCCTATCCATTCCCTAGGGTATTTACTGTTAATCATTTCCAGTTATTTTCTGAGATATCTCTTTATATAAATTTATACACAAACATGTATTTATTCCTATATGTAAATGCTAAACAAAAGGGGATCACACTCAACACACTTTTCTGCAGTTTGGCTTATGCAATGTTATATAATGAACATCCTTCACTATCAGGGCTTATAAAATCTTTTGTCTTTTTGAGACGGGTTCTCACTATGCAGTTCAGGCTGGCCTTGAGCTCACTCTGTAGCCCAGGCTGGTCTCTAACTCACAAGGATCCTCTTTTATCAGCCTTCCAAGTGCTGGGATTAGAGGCATGTACCACCATGCCCGGCAGGATTTATAAAATCTACCTCTTCTTTTTAGCTGTTGCATGCTGTTCCACTGGACAGATATACCATGAGTTATGGGACTCTCATAAATATCTCCATTTGGGGACATTTAGGTTTCCAATGTTCTTTGACTGTTACTGTGTTCGAATAAATGTTGACACCTGGCTGTGCAGGTCACTGTTGGGGAGCACCAGAATTGTGACATGTGAAGATTCTTGTGGGAAAATAAGAATTTGACCACTCTCAGTATGACATGTAGCCAGGCAGGTAGCAAGAAGACAAGATCTCAAGCCAGGCCTCCAAATTACATTCATTACGGGCTTTGATATGTTGGTGAGAAGCCCACACACCTGCAAAGAGCTTATTAGTGCTAAAGATTCACCCTACATGTGCAAGCACCCAGCGGGGTGTGATGATGGCAGAATGTCACCAAGACCAGTTTACAGAACTCGTCCGGGACCTCTCATCAGAGGCACCCAAGGGCTGAGGCAGAGAGGCTGACGTGCCCACACTCTCCCTCTCTGTCAGCCTGAAGTTGCCATTATGCTCACTTCCCTCGTTTCTAACAAGACATTCTAAGAATAATACAGTTTTGAATGGAAAGAGACTTAAGCTATCTAATGCAGTTTTCTCCTTGTGCAGATGAGGACTTTGAGGCCAAGGATGATTGATTTGGCCTGTGGCCCAAGTCTCCAGAACCCCAGCTTCAGACTTTTCTTTTTCCTAAAAAAAAAAAAAGCATTAAATCTTGGCTGGAAGTATAGCTCAGAGGGAGAGTACTTGATTAGCACGCACAAGGTCCTGGATTCACTCTCTAGCATCACAAAAAAGAATTGTTAAACCTCACCAAACTGTACATCTCATTCATCGGTCATACTTGTTTTAAGAATGATGTCCCAAGGACCACTGCAAACATGCCCTTGAAGTATCTCTTAGTTTTTGCTCCCCACTACTCACTGTCTGGTGAGAGGGCAAGCAGATCCGTGCCAGCAGGGAGCAGCCTTCTGTTTTTTGATCAGAACAGTGAGCAATCTTTAAGTCAAGCTGGTAAACTCACAGTTCAAATGTCAAATTCAAGTGTTTCCCCACTTCTTTGTTTTTATTCCTTTAGGGGAAAGTTGGTCTTGCAGTGGTTTAAGCTTTTTGGCCCTGTAGAGTTGGTGGAGAGCTGACTTCCCTTTGTACACATTTCCAAATCACTGCCTGAAGAATGCACTGGCTCCATGCCATTTAACACACTGATACAAACACCCACAATGTACAAAGTTCCAGAAGAGACTGAGAGATGGAACAGCGCAGAGCTTACTCTAGAGGAAAAATAAGGCAAGTGTAGAATTAGTTCTAAAACACAATGTGGTTCTGAAAGCTGCTTTCATAGTTTACAGAATTAAGGTTCAGGTGCAAAGGATTATGGCACATTGAAGTTGGCATTACCATGGACACTAAAAGGTGGTCATAGGGCTGATGCTCTGATGGCTGCAGAGCAGTTTAGGCTGGGCAGTCACACAAAGAGAGGTTCTGAGTTGGAAAAGTGTTCCTGCAGGAGATGCTCATTTGATTTGACCAAGGCATGGTACACACTTACTGGAGCATTTGTGGATATAAAACTGTGAGTATCTTGGGGAAGCATCCAATGGCAAGTGTGATCGCTTTGCAATTTGGGGCATTTGCCAAGGGAGAAAGTAAAGGTTTTTGGGTAGGGTGCTGCCAAATTAAAAGATATGGATAGAAGTCTATAAGTGGAAGATATTCAGAAAACCAATGGGAAAAGGAAGGGAAAAGGTAAGGGGCAACTATACCTGCAGCACCTCGGGGGCACGGTGGTGAGAACTGGGATGCACTCGGAGTCTGAGCAAGGCTTGAATGAGAAGGACAATGAGCGAATTTCCAAAGAGCTGGTTTTAGCAACTGAGACCAGAGCCATACCATTGAAAAAAAAAAACAAAAAAAAACAAAAAAAACACAAAAACAGAATTCCCAAGAAGGAGCTTGTTTTGAGAAGCTGGGCAGGGATGAGAAGATGAATTCAACATTTTGGAAACACTGAACGTGAGGCCTTAGAGAGCTACGCAGTTGGAGATATCCAGCCTGCAGGTGGACGTGCCAATCTGGCATTTGGGCATGAAACACTCATTGAAGATTTGGCAACTGGATTTTGGCACATTCACCCTGAGGCAGAGAGGAAGAGGAGAAGTAAAATCAGGACTGGATCTAGCAAGACAGGAACACACAGGGCTTCCGAGTGCATTTTGGAAAGAGGAGGAACTGGGCTAAATTTCTTGGCTCTGCCATTTAATTTCTGTGAGGATTTGGACATTTGATGTGAACACCTCCAAACCTGTTTCCCCACTAGTGAGATTTGGACAGCTGGCTTTTCAACCTCAGAGAGTTATAGGAGGATGAGCTGATCACATTAATTGAATATTAATTAATGTTCAATTAATTGAACATTAATTAATATTCAATTAATTAATATTCAGTGTCCTCATTGTTTTCCTAAGGACTATTTTTTAGTTTTTAAAATAAGCTATTTTTTTTATATTTTTGCTTTTCATACCTTAGCAGCAGCAGCAGCCCACGTGCACATAGCAGGGGGTGTATTCCAGGCTGGACCATAGTACATTAAAACAATGCCGCACCTCAGATTAGCTACAGGGAACACCCTCCTGTCATGCTCCTATCATGTCCAGAAATGTCACTTGATGTGTGAGGTCCTCTCTGTTATTTGACAGAAGGAAATGATAATGAAATTCAGCCTTCACTTTGGAATTACAGCTCAGTT